TGAGAAGTGAAGTGAGAAGAGAAGGGAGAAATAAAAGCCCTAGCTGCCTAAGTTCCTAACTGCCTAAAAAAGTAAGAATGAGAAAAGAAAAGGAGATGATCAGCTGATGCCTGATGGGCAATTGGGTATTTGGGTTTGGGATGGGTTGATTTTAATGGAACATAAACTTGGGCCTTAGCCTATATTAGTATTAGTTCGGTTTTTCGGTTAACCGAAAAATGTAAATCAATAACCGACAATCGAACCGAAAAACTGAATTTTAAAAATTTTAATTTGAAACCGACCGAAAAAACCGAATAACCGAAACCGAAATTTAAAAAAAATTGGTTCGGTCGGTTTTTTCGGTTCAAACTGATATATGCCCACCCCTATGTGAGGATGCACAACATCGACAGTGCAGCTGGCAGGATCGATAGAAGGGGTCGTCGAGCCATCAACAACTACAAAACAATTACTAAGCTTAGCATATGAAAATGTATATTAGTAATGTACGTGTTAAGTAAAAAATATTTTCTCACCATGGTCTCGTCGGCCTCCTGAGTATAAGCATTTATGGTGTCCTCATCATCGCATACAGTGGCCTCCGTGATAGGTTGGGACGAAGACTTAATAAGAAAATTAAAAATTAATTTATGGTAAATCATTAAGGAAAATAAAACAAATTGAAATTTTATAGTAATACAAACATACCTGCGCCTGTGATAGATCCACATCAACTGCCGAGGATGGGGCATAACTCAACCTGCGCCTGCTATGCACATCTCGGATTGGCCGATCCTCAGCTGTGGTAGATGGGCCTGAAAAGAACTGGTATACATCTCCGTCGAATGTACCCGTGATCAACAATAAATATAACGGGGTGACCTGCGATGCTAGCAGATCCAGCTGAAGGCTGTACGATGGCATGCAACTGGAAGGCTCGTCTAGCCGAGGGAAATAACCTGGATGATCATCTCTAAGATCCTCATCAGATGGCTTAACAGGTGGGTCGACAGGTGCCTCAATGCCCCCTTGCTGGGGACCACCAACTCGTCAGCTCCCGCGACCCCGTGGGGCACCCCTGGCTCGTAGGACAACCCTGCCTCGTGGAGCAGCCCTGGCTCGTGCCCGACCCCTACCTCGTGGTACATGCCTAACCCGATGGTGATGCTCTGGCGCCGCATACTTAGCCTCGTGATCCAACCTCTTGTCCTCTCTGGCTCGCTGCAGGGTCCGGAGAGCCAGTTCTTCCACCTGCCGGCCATACTCAACGACTGTAGCATTATCGGCATGTTGCTGCATCTCCTGTCCCAACTGGTAGAACATGTGATGCCCAATAACATGTACAACATTTAAAATATTAATGACATAATGCTATATCACAATTATAAGTATGGGTTCCAACAAAAACATACCAGTGTCTCATACCTCCCGACGTATGGTCTGAACCGACCGCCAGGTACATGAACGGGGTTCTCGATCATCAGTCGGGTGTGACGGCGGTACCATGACGTATAGAGCCCAATAATCGTCGCCTGGATTTGTGAAGGTGGTGGCAGAATCAGGTCCTCTTGCTACTCCCAAATAAGGACCTGCGCCTCTAGCCATACTAAAATTGCGTCGTCCACCCTCGAATGATCATCCCGCTGATAATGAGTAGCCACCCATTCAGGCTCCCTCGGTATAGTCTGGGGATGGTCAAACTGACGAAGTACCCGCTCTGTGGCATGATGCTCCACAACATTGAGGCACATCAGCAGGACGAAAGTGCTCTAAAGCTGTCGGTCGATCGAGCAATAATCGGGCAGATCAGGTAGCAACTCGTCGATGTATGGCGTCCAGATGAATTATAAAATAATAACATAAAAGTGAGTATGCGCAACACAAGTGAATTTATAACAAGTAAGTTTAGATACATATTTACCTGTGCGGCCTCCAGCATATCTAAGATATTCCTAACAAGGGGGATATTATGATGAGCATACTGCCTCGGTAGTTCCCACGCCGGAGAATCCACCTCCTAGATAGAGGGAGAAACGAAGGTGCTACACCTGGCACTAATGGTGGTAAAGGTGGCTGCAATGGCAAGACCCGTTGCCAGGCCCAAACCTAATATAAAAGGTTGACATAAAATTTAAGTCATTTTGACTATATAGAATTCGAAGTAATGAACAGAGTATTCAGATATGTTGTCACTTGTAGAAGCGGTAGAAAACCACATGTGTCCACCTGGGTGCCCATGCTAGCCCGACACATACTCCTGTACAGGTAAGCGAGAACAACAACACCCCAGTTGTACTGGGGTAACTCATCTAGCTGCTGGAGATGATGTAGAAAGTACATACTCACTAGATTTCCTGAAGTGTTCGGGAACAAGACACCCCCAAAAAGAAGAAACAACGCCAACCTAGTGTACCGGTGAATATGGAGATCCTCTGTCTCGCCGGTAATGTCGGGGTGCAATACCTCCATATACTCTCTGGTAGCTGTCACAGAAATGCGACTACCCCCTCTAACTGCAGCCTCACCCTGTGGCCTGAAACCAGTATACTGCCCCAGCAAATCCAAATATTGGGCACGCATCATAGCTCTCATATACTGGGGCAGTGCAACACCCAGTCCATCAACATGCAGCCCATATAAAACTTGAACATCCTGAAGCGTGATGATGACCTCTTCAGTGGGAAGGTGAAAAGAGTGCGTTTTCGGTCGCCACTGCTCTACCAACGCCGTGATGAGAGACCAGTTGAGCTGCAGCCGCCCAATCTCAAAAATCCTAAGGAAGCCTGTAACACGCAAGTGATGAACTACGCGGGTATGTATCTCTGCCTCAAAAAATCGTCCGGTCTCCTGGCGCGGAGACTCTGATCCAATAGATGTCCCTCCCATACGTAGGCGGACCTATGGTCGCCCTGTAACACTAATATCTGATCCGAGGCTGGTCCAGGATGCACAGGCAGCAAGTCTATGTCGTCTACTGTAATTTAAACAATATTAATTGTGTGTTTGTTTTATAATAATTAATATTTAATTATTTAATAGGACAAAGTATATAACTATGGGTTCCAGACTCGATATTTGGGGCCCAGTAGCACCAAGCTATCCTGAATTCTTATGTGTGTCAATTTCAATATTTTTAGAATTTTGTTTGTATTGTAATAAATATCTATGGATTCGAGGCCCGATATTTGAGGCCTAGTAGCACCAAGCTATCCTTAATTCTTGTTTGTGTCAATTTCAATATTTTTAAAATTTTGTTAGTTTAATAAGTTAAATCATTAATTTTTAATGGGACAAAGTATATAACTATGGGTTCTAGGCTCGATATTTGAGGCCCAGTAGCACCAAGCTAACCTTAATTATTATGTGTATCAATTTCAAAAATTTTAGAATTTTTTTAGTTTAATAAATTAAATAATTAATTATTTATTTAGACAGAGTAAATATCTATGGGTTCCCGTTTTGGTCTTGCAGCTATTTTTAAAATATATATATAAGAATCCTTTTTTTAGAAGAAAGGGTCTTAGGGCGAATTCCTCTCACATTGGAAACTGCGCTCAATTACTATATTATTCGCGCACCTACCTACCACAATTCGGTTCTTACGGAATAGGGGCATACTCATATAAATAATTTCCTAACTAACCCAATTGGGGTGATAGACCCGCGAACTTGTTCGGATAGGTGTTCACCCCAAAGTGTTCCCGGACCGCATGCATACGAATCAGGCTTGTTGTATTTAGTATACAGCGTCAAGCAGTTCCGCTTTCCCCTACCGATGATGTGCCGAGAAGGCACTTTACAAATAATAAGAGGGGCAATGAGAGCAGAGAAAGAAAGCTAACCTAAAGGTAATTATTTCTCTAAAGGGCAGTTGCGAGCAATAACATCTTACACTTTCCCAAAGACCAATACACAAGTGATTCGCCATAGTCTAATCGATTGAGGAGGACAACCAATGACCGAGCTTGAGGTGGGAATAAAGAGAATCTTCTATAAAGAATCTTCCTTTTATCTCCGCAGAAAGCCTGATTTATGCTAGAGGATTCAATCTTCCTTGAGGTTTTAGTGGGAGTTCCTTTTTGATGCCCATTCGCGAGTGGCTAAAGGGAAACGCAGGCGCGAGTCTCCCTATATTAAAAAAATTCTTTCCAGGCTCGATATTTGAGGCCCAGTAACATCAAGATATCCTTAATTCTTATGTGTGTCAATTTCAATATTTTTATAATTTTGTTTGTTTAATAAATTAAATAATTTATTATTTAATTGGGCAGAGTAATATCTATGGGTTCCAGACTCGATATTTAAAGCTCAGTAGCACCAAGCTATCCTTAATTCTTATATGTGTCAATTTCAATATTTTTATAATTTTGTTTGTTTAATAAATTAAATAATTAATTATTTAATTGGGCAGAGTAATATCTATGGGTTCCAGACTCGATATTTGAGGCTCAATAGTACCAAGCTATCCTTAATTCTTATGTGTGTCAATTTCAATATTTTTATAATTTTGTTTGTTTAATAAATTAAATAATTAATTATTTAATTGGACAGAGTAAATATCTATGGGTTCCAGGCTCGATATTTGAGGCCCAATAGCACCAAATTATCCTGAATTCTTATGTGTGTTAATTTCAATATTTTTAAAATTTTGTTAGTTTTATAAATTAAATAAGTAATTTTTAATTGGACATGGTATATAACTATGAGTTCCATACTCGATATTCAATTCGACAACATATATTAATTTGTTTGTTCTGTAAGTTTGTTTTATAACTTAAATAATTAATTTTGTAAAGTGTAATTGGATAGAGTTTGTAGTTAGTAGATACTTAAACTAGAGAGATTCTACGCTAAAAGGCTCTATATTTTACTACGCTAAAAGGCTCTATATTTTATTACGCTAAAAGGCCACTATTATTTAAGCAAATAAATAATTTAAACTAAATAAAAATAACAAACATATGAACATAATATTCACGAAATTACATATAAAACAGTAAAAGATATTTGTGAACAGTTTTATAAACAATAAAAATTATTTCTCAACTTTTAACTATTTTTTTAAAACACTAATAATTTAATTCGAGTAAAAATAACATACAAATTTATTCGCAAACATAACACAAATCAACGTGGAAACACATTCGCATATGCTCTACGAGTTTCGACATAAACTAAATCGGAATACCTCGATTTATGTTTTTTGAAATGTCGAAAATTTGAAAATTTGAGCCCGAAAGAAGGAATCCACAACAATCGAAGGCTTTGGTTGTATGCTGGACCTACACTCTTCACTTTTTGTGTGACGGGTGGGGCCCAAGGATTTTTTTTTTAATCGGAGGGGGGAAGGGACCACAAAAAGGGGAGGGGGGTTTAAAAATGAACCAGTGGTTCTGTCGTGGGGAAGAAGACAGGTTATGTTTTTTTTTATAGGAAAACGCAGTATGATACTACGTTTCCCTAAAACGTAGTACTATACTGCATTTTCCTATAAAAAGTAAACTATTAAATAAAACGTAGTATTATACTGCATTTTACTTTAACGGCTAACTTTCCGTTAAACTAAAATGCAGTATAATACTGCATTTTAGTTATAAATGTAATTTTTTTAATTGTATAATGGTATTTTGAGTCCAAAATACCATTATTTAAGTTTCGGACTCTCCTCAACCCACCTTCCCCAAAATCCTCATGTTTCTTGTACCCCCCCCCACCACCACCACTGTAGTTTCTTCAACAATTTAATTATTTTTTTCAAAATTTATACAAACTCAAATGAACTAATGTGCTGTTTTACTTTTTCACACAATAATAACGTTGAAATTCGAGCTCGATAACCAAAAAGAAAATACTTTATTTGAAAAAATATCATTTCTACAACATGAAAAGAAATTATTCATTTTGTTGAATGAAAGAAAATACTTTTTTTACGTTATGAAAAGAAAATACTCAGTTTGTTGAAATGAAAGAAAATACTTTTTCTACATCATGAAAATAAAGTACTCACTTTGTTAAAATAAAAGAAAATATTTTTTCTACATCTTGAAATCTTATTTTGTTGGAAAAAAAAAATACTTTTTTCCATTTCAGGAAAAGAAAATACGTAGTTTGTTGGATGGAAAGAAACTACTTTTTCTACATCATGAAAAGAAAGTATTCATTTTGTTTAAATGAAAGAAACTATTTTTTATACATCATGAAAAGAAAGTACTAATTTTATTGGAAAAAAAAAAACTTAGTTTATTGAAATAAAAGAAAATATTTTTCTATATCATGAAAATAAAGTATTCATTTTGTTGAAATATTTTTTATTACATCATAAAAAAAGTATTCGTTTTGTTGAATGAAAGAGATGAGTGTGTGCGGGAAGGGGGGAGGGTAGAGGGTTGGGGGTG